ACTAGAAAATGCATTTCTTGCAGAAAATGCGTGCGAATGCTGTAAACTGTGAACATTTATGGCTGAATTTAGCTGAAAATGCAGAAAAAGCTGAATATGTTATTAGCTGAATGGTAGCTGCTTTTAGCTAAAAAAATGCAGAAAAAGCTGAATATTTAAAAGAAAAGGTTTAAAAAAGGTATAAACAACAACATGTATAGCCTTGATGTCCTGAAATAGCTGAATAATGTAATAGTTGAATGGGTTCTGCAGCTGAAAATAGGCTGAAGGAGTTAAATATCAGATGTACGTAGTAGTGAATGAATTTGTATTAAGATGAGAAAAGAAAAATAAAAAGGCTTGGGAAACTTTTGAACTAACTTGATGGTGAATGATCTGTCGCCATGGCAACGGCATTTGATGACATCCCATAATACTCTTAGATGTGTTGATGGCTGCATTGTTACCAAACCTGTGAAGTTTTGGGCCATTTCGAGTATTTTCACTGAAGTTATGAGAAAACCGTGTTTCATGGTGAGCATTGTGTTGCCATGGCAACGGCATTTGAAGAAATCTCAAAACTGTCACGTAGATGTCTTCACGGCTGGACTGTTACGGCCCGTCCACACAGCAGCTTTTGGCGATTTGTCCACCGCTTCCAGCGCGTCTCCGCCCATTGACTTTGAATGGGGATGACGTCACTTTCCCTCGCTTGTCGCCGAACTGCATTGTGGGGGGGCGAGGCGAAGATTTCCAGGATTTCCAGGATGTTCAGGATTCCAAAGTTGAACAATGTTCAACTTTTGAGGCTGAGCTGGAAGCGACAGCCAATCAGATCCGTTTATGCAAATCTGACATTTCAAGCGCTAGCCAATCAAACCGCGTGCAAGCTGGGAGAACCAGACCCGCAGTTCATTTCCTCATATTCCAAACGAGAAATTACGGTAGCAAATCACCCGGTTCTTTACGACCAGACTATTTACCGGGATACAAACCGGAGGAACCAGGCATGGAGGGAGGTGGCAGAGACAGTGGGTGAAACTGGTAGGTTTTCGCCTGTTTGGGGAGTTTATATATATATATATTGCTCGCATAAAATCCCCGTTTTTTTTTGCTTTGTATGTCGGGGGCGGGAGATTCATGTGATTGGTTGTTGGTCGTGTTGCTCGCAAAAAATCCCCAAGCTGTCAGACACGCCCAGCTCCTAGATTTTCAAGATTTGTTCAAAGCTGCTGTGTGGACGGGCCGTTAGCACACATGTGAAGTTTGCGCACTCTTTGAACATTTGCATAGGAGTTATAGTGACATCATATTTTATTGCGAGGGATGCGTTTCCATGGAAACGGCATATGGTGAGATCTCAGATTTGGCGTAGAGCTGTGGAGGCATGGACCGGTGATATACAAGTGAAGATTGGGGGACGATTGGACCGTGTCCATTGGACTTATAGCGACATCAAGTTGTATGGCGAGGGATGCGTTTCCATGGAAACGGCATATGGTGAGATCTCAGATTTGGCGTAGAGCTCTTGAGGCATGGACCGGTGATATACAAGTGAAGATTGGGGGACGATTGGACAGTGTCGATTTGACTTACAGCCTCATCGTGTTTCATGGCGAGTGGTCTGTCGCCATGGCGATGACATTTGATGACACCCCATACTACGCTTAGATGCATTGATGGCTGCATCGTTATCAAACCTGTGAAGTTCTGGGCTGTTTGGAGTATTTTCACTGAAGCTATGAGAAAACCGTGTTTCAAGGCGAGCATTGTGTTGCCATGGCAACGGCATTTGGAGAAATCTCAAGACTGTCCCGAATCGTCTTCACAGCTGGACTGTTGAAGTCTGCTGCATGTCAGTTGGAGTGATGACATCATCGTGTTCCATTACACAGGTGTTTATATTTGAACTAACGAGCTCTGTAGAGATCACAGGTTTCCATTGTTCTGAATGAGAGATGAACCTCTTACATGTGAACGTTTTGTGGAAGAACCGTAACAGATATCTGTGAAATTTCAAAACGTGAAGCATGTCAAGGAAGTTGAGTATCTGAAGTGTAATTGTTGTGTAGTTTTGGTTTAATAATGTGGCCTTTTTGGCAGTTTAACTAAAGGTGTGCGGCTGCTACCGTGAGGAAATATCTGCCTGAAATTACAATGGGCTTCAATGGAGGAATGTTGAACGTTTTTGTCACTTAATGCCCTCAAGAGGCATTTTCTTTAATATTTTTTCTTATTTTTTCTTTATTTTCCAAGCTAGGAGAGGTTTTCCTACGTTTTCCATGAAAAAATATGTCTGAGGAGTGTAGGGTTTGGGAAGTATGGCAAGTTTAAAACATTTTTGGGGGAGAATTTTGAGCTGTCCTGCACTCTGTTTTGAGATCAAAGCACTCTAGAGTTAATGAGCTGCTCCATCCACTCTAATGTAAAAATCTTAAAAATGCCTCTCTACCAAGCTCCAAACTAAATTCAATATCTCAAAAAGTTGAAAAGATATCAAAATTATTTTATACAAGTTTTATAGCTGAAGGTATTGTGATCATTTGAAAGTTTGAATGAAGTGTCTGGCTGAAATTATGTGGAAGGAGATGCATTTGGCGCAAAGTGTAGGAAAACAGGATTTGAAGGCATCTCCCATTGACTTCAATGTTAAAAAAAGAGTTTAAAAAGCTGAATATTTCAAAAAGTATGAAATATTTTGAAAAAGTTGAAGGTTTCCCATCGATTCCTGAACAGGCTGAATAGTTTAATATTTGAATGGTTTCTGTAGCCGAAAGTAAGCTGAAGTTATGGAGAGCTAAAGTATTGGCTGATTTGAAGGCTCTTCCCATTGACTTCAATGTTAAAAAAAGAGTTTAAAAAGCTGAATATTTCAAAAAGTATGAAATATTTTGAAAAAGTTGAAGGTTTCCCATCGATTCCTGAACAGGCTGAATAGTTTAATATTTGAATGGTTTCTGTAGCCAAAAGTAAGCTGAAGTTATGGAGAGCTAAAGTATTGGCTGATTTGAAGGCTCTTCCCATTGACTTCAATGTTAAAAAAAGAGTGTAAAAAGCTGAATATTTCAAAAAGTATAACATATTTTGAAAAAGTTGAAGGTTTCCCATCGATTCCTGAACAGGCTGAATAGTTTAATATTTGAATGGTTTCTGTAGCTGAAAATAAGCTGAAGTTATGGAAAGCCAAAATATTGGCTGAAATAATAATAATAATAATAATAAGGGGAAGAATAAAGATTTGAAGCACTATAGTGGAATGCTGTAAACAGCATTCGCACTAATTAACACAAAATGGAAATACTCAAGTAAAGTATGAGTACCTCAAAAGTGTGCTTGAGTACAGTACTTGAGTAGATGTACTTAGTTACTTTCAACCACTGCTTGGTACACACTTAGTATATAAACATAGCATTCCATCTAAAGCACATAACCGTATACCGTAGTTCTTCCAAATAAAGATATCTATTTATTTGCATTTAAAATACAATTGTTTTAAGATATATTGACATTTTAAGAAAGAACCGTTTTACATGTCTAACAGGTGATACAATTTACCCTAACGCTAAATGTCCCAAGAAAATATACACAGGAAATTCAAGAGGAAGAATTAAAGGTAAACCATCAATCCTGAGTTCTGGATTAAGTCGTGGACGTTTCGGGTCGTGGCTGAACCTGTCTCTGCGGTCCTGCCATGGGTCTCGTCATGCTGCTTCCCTGATGGCTTCCTCAGGATTGTAGTTGACATCCTCGTGGATTCATCTTCTTATTACAGACACATGCATTTCCTAACATTCGGTCTATATGCTGTAAAATGTATTATCTCTTCGATTTACACACGGCATCTATTGCACGTCTGTCCGTCCTGGGAGAGGGATCCCTCCTCTGTTGTTCTCCCTGAGGTTTCTCCCATGTTCCCTTTAAACTGTGGGTTTTCTCTGGAAGTTTTTCCTTGTACGATGTGAGGGTCTAAGGATAGAGGGTGTCGTTTTTCTCATACTGATATTCTGAACAATTTGTGCTGTTGTATTTGCTGTAAAGTGTATCTACTGTAGGCTATTTTTATTATATGTACAGCACTTTGGCTCGACCAAAAATCGTTTATAAATGTGCTATATAAATAAAACTTGATTTGATTTGATCAAAAGACTGGTGTTTTACTGGTTCAAAGACATTTGTTATATCGTTGGAGATGACAACATTAAACTTAATCTGACCACACTCCTCTCCACTCCCGCTCTCCAAGCAGATGGCTATAAAAGAGCCAGGGTTGAGCATCTCCTCCAGACCTGTCAAGATTTCCCAACCGACCACCTAACAACATTGGTCATTTTCTCCATATGAGTTAATAATTGTAACATCAACCCAAAGCACACATTACAACAGCTTGCTTCCTCAAATTGTTTACAACATTTCCCATGTCAGATATTTACTTTGCCTTTTTTAAGTGCTCCCCGTAGTTAGACACTGAAACGCCAACCCTCAAAGCTGACCTAACCCAACCCCATAAAAGACAGCATATCCAGAACTTAAATGAAGGCACTCCGAAATAAACATTTCTCTTTTTATAATTAGCGTAGCATTAATATACTGTATAATGAAATTGTCTTTGAGCTTGCGGTTTACGGATGCTAGTACTCTTCTTTCTTAGGCAATTGGCAGGTTGATCATGTGGTGGTTGTAAAACGCAATATAAACTCTATGTAAAGATGTTTTGGTTTTTTAAAGACACTCGTCCACCTTCCATAAGGTACAGGAACTCACATGAGGTGCAACAGAGGCCAAACTAGTATTAGCTTAGCATCCAGCCGTTTTTAAATGATTGCCCTGATCTCTCAGGAGGATGGAAGGAGGAAGTGGAGGGGATGCTGGGAAATTCCCGCTGGCATGGGGATGAGCCAAGTCCTCAACTTGTGCGACCAGCTGTTGCCGCAGCGACAACTCCTGGTTCCAAACCACACCCTGCTATGGTTGGACCGTGTGTGTCTTGTATGTGTGAATGCATATGTTTGTGTGTGTCTTACCAGTGGGAAGCCGTGGGAGATTTTGCCATCAGGGGGCAGCTTAGCTCCGAAACCGTAGGCAGGAAAGAGCTTGTCGCTGTCGTAGTCCTGGATAATCTCACCTACTGCTTTCAGGGCCATGGCATATGCATTCATCTGGTAGGGACTCATATAGTGAAGGGAGGTGGGCTGGGAGGGGTTACCTTGGAGAAAGAAACGCACACAACTCGATGAGTTGAATGATAATTCACCTTCTTTCTTTGTGGTTTTCATCTGCAATTCGAAGCATGTTATGTCACCAGTGGAGCACAGGAGATGATTCATAGAAAATAAAGTACTGCATGCTTTATCTCCTTCTTTCAAACAGGGTTCACATAAGCTGCTTCTTGTATCTGCATTTTGAATAGCTATAGAGACATGCAATAGCTGTGATGAAATATATTTAACAGTCCAATTTTAATCAAAGAGTCATGTAAAAAATGATGAGTATGGGGATTTATCAGTTAATGCAATCAAATTAATGTTTAACACATTTACATTATATATATAAGTATAATTATAATTTACATGTAAACATAGCTAAATCTGACTTCTCCCCCAAGAATAAGCACGTGTGGAGTTTCTTCTCTGTTATTAAACAAGTGCCTTGCTTGAGTGAAAGGGTGGGGGGAGGGGGGAGATTTCATTATCCAGAATAGATGCCCGCTCCTAACACACCTACCGATAATGTATTCCTCCTAATCCTATCTAGCTTCCAACTGCGCCGCAGGTGTACCCCGTGCTTCTGGATATGAAAATACCAAACGCATTCCCCAAGCCCTGTGCACCATGCACGCTCGACTGCACTTCCCATCATGTGAAAATAAGAGCCTAAATGTAACAATCTATTCAGGACAGCTGTGTGCCTGCCCATCACGAACACCAGTGTATCTGCCATAACAACTGAAGAAAGGTAATGTTACATCACAGATGGGAAAAGGGACAACTGCATTTCCCACTCAAGTGTTACATTTTAAAAATCAAGTTTTCTTTCTGTGATCCTTTAAAACAAAAAATTCAAGTTGTGTCATTTTAGTAGTTTCAGAAAGAGATATACATGTATGAGAATATGGTAATTGGTGGTTTAATGGTGCATTACACAATGTTTTAGGTCCTCGTGTCTTGAGCAAAAATCACTGCAACATTGGAGTCATGCATTAAGAAACACAACCAAACACTACTGAATATAATTCCTTTCTTCTGTGCCATTGCATTGGTATGACCACAAATAATTTCCCCAACTTTAACTTCACCAACTACTGTCATATGGTTTAACTAAATCATCTTTTTTAGATTGTAGTATTTTGCAGCACTAACCTAGATTTTGATCAGAAGATTGCTTGTATTGGTGAGCTGCCATTACTTGACCAACAACAAATTCTTACGATTTCACACATGAGTGGGCCCAAACAGTTACCCTGTGGCACTCCAAACTGTAATCGTCTAGCATTGGAACCAACTTGCTTTCTAGCATTAAATATCTCCTGAAGTTTTGGTTGTTAACCTGTTAAGCCCGGAGCCTGTTTTTCAGGCCTCAGGCTCGAAAATGACATGCCCAGAACAAATGACTATATCTTCACTTCTAAAAGGGGTAAATGATTAACACATTATGTTATTCAATTTGAGAGGAATAAAGCAAGGCAAGTTTATTTATATAGCACCTTTCAACACAAGGCAATTCAAAGTGCTTTACAAAAATAGACATGAAGAAAATGGCATTTAAAAACAGTTATTAAAAAGCAAAGATAATAAAATAAACATTAAAAGAAAAAATACATGATTAAAAATTACAGTGCAGTTTAAGATATGAATAGTTCAATTCAAAGCAGCGGCAAAAATAAAGGTCTTCAGCCTGGATTTAAAAGTAGTCAGAGTTGCAGCGGACCTGCAGGTTTCTGGGAGTTTGTTCCAGATATTTGGAGCATAATAACTGAACGCTGCTTCTCCATGTTTAGTTCTGACTCTGGGGACAGAAAGATGACCAGTCCCTGAAGACCTGAGAGATCTGGATGGTTCATCATTTAGCAGGAGGTCAGAAATGTATTTTGGGCCTAAACCATTCAGTGCTTTGTAAACCAGCAGCAGTATTTTGAAATCTATTCTTTGACACACAGGAAGCCAGTGTAAAGACTTCAGAACAGGAGTGATGTGATCCACTTTCTTAGTGTTAGTGAGGACTCGAGCAGCGGCGTTCTGAATCAGCTGCAGCTTCCTAATAGATTTTTTAGTGAGACCTGTGAAGACACCATTACAGTAGTCAAGTCTACTGAAGATAAAAGCATGGACAAGTGTTTCCAAATCCTGCTGTGACATTAGTCTTTTAATCCTAGATATATTCTTTAGGTGATAGTAGGCTGATTTAGTAACTGTTTTAATGTGACTGTTGAAACTCAGGTCCATGACTACACCTAGATTTCTGGCTTTATCTGTTGTTTTGAACATTACAGACTGACTGATTAATAGTCTGAATAATAGTCAAAAACAATTGCTAACAGAACATGCCCAATTTAGATTCTAGCATAACACTGTAAAGCTTAGGCCTACTAATAAAGACCTTATACTGATTGTCAATTGAAACAGAAATGTAAAAATGGCAATTGAGACTTTTAACCATGAATAACTATTATCCCATGTGCCAAACTATTCTCTTACGATGTGTAACTATTACTGTAGTTAACTGATTCATTACTAGGAGCCAATTTTGGCATTTTACAAGCAACATAATTATTTGTATGTTTAGTTTGAAAAGCTTGACTGACCACATCTAGTCAAACTGCATTTTAATTAATATAAGGGAGACATCAAAGAGTTCTAAAACCCACCTGTATGTACTACAATCAATCAAAATACATGCAAGTCAAAGCAACTAACCGTTTGACGCTGTGAAGTCAATAGCCACCGTGAAGTTCAGTTGTGTTCTGTTGCAAAGAAAATGGTAATCATAGAAGAAAATATCACACACTTCAGTTCACTTAATACCCATTGTATTTCCATCACACATACACATCAACACACTGACGTTCAATATAATTAGTTTACTGGTTCACTGGCTAATTAGTATGGCAGGAAAATATTCCCTCCACCATCATTGAGGCCTAATTAAGTCAAACAAATGAAAGTAGTGATTAAAAGTGAATGAGGTGAATAAATAGGGTATTTATAATTGAGTTTTACCAATACACATCCCCCCCACCCAACACTTTGTGTGATGCTGTGAGGGTTTAAGACATTCAATCTAGTAACAACTAAAATGGTGGCTATTGACACTCACTGTGAGAGCAGTCTAATTATTATTCCACTCACCCTCCTCGGATGAAATCCACAAAGGTATACTCGGACTCCACTTTGAAGGACAGCAGAGTTACCTGGCAAACACACACACAAACAGAGTGATAAACAGAGAAGGAGGGTGGATAGGGACCGGGCCAGGTAGACAGGGAGGAAAAAGACAAACAGGTGCAGACAGCAACATAGTCAGTGAAAGAGAAGCTGATGTGGTGGTGGTGATACCTAAAGAAATATACATGAGAAAAATTACACTGGAGACGATATGGGACACATGAGACTTGGGTGTACTCACAGTTCCAGAATTGATGTATTTCTTCTTTTTGCCTTTCTTCTTTGGATTTAAAACCTGCCGGTGATGCGGACAAGTAAGTTAGTGATTGAGAGGGTACTTGTAAAAACCACTTCATGCCCTGAAATGATGTTTGATAATGACTATGAATAATTCAACAGAGTTCTGATACTGGAAGACCATGAATTGAAACCAATAAGGTTTTACTGAGAAAATCTAGTCTAGAGAAAATAAATGAAAGGTGAAAAGATGAATCCCTCCAACCAGCCATCCATACATTTGTCCTAATGTAGGTTTGTACACCTATACATTCCTCCATTTGTATATCAATCCATCCACATGTACATCCATCCATCCATCCATCCATCCATCCATCCATCCATCCATCCATCCATCCATCCATCCATCCATCCATCCATCCATCCATCCATCCATCCATCCATCGGTTTGTACTTCCATTCATCCATCATTACTAATCTGTTTAATGATTTTTTTGGTCATTATGCCAGTGCTATTATTAATTAGTTCCCTTGGAGCATAGAAATCCTTTCTCAAATTCCTAGCTCAATTACTAAATAGTTCTTGTCATGATTTTGTTTGGAAAGTGATAATTCAAATTGCCACAGACTTTAAGTCCCTTAACCTGACCATGAAGGATCCAAAATGTACTTGGTCCTTTTTTCTTTACCTCATTAAAGTCAAATACATATGTTTAGGTAAGAATTCAGTGTATATAACAGTGAAAAGAGTTACCATGTACCATGTATTCATTATTGATGTTGATATTGACTTGTATTTGATGAAAATAGGATGGGTGGTCATAAAAAGATCATTATTTAATTATCATTGAGGTTTACATAACAACCTATGAGAAAATGGACAGGCCACATGTTGACATACTATCCTAGTCTTCTATTTAATTCAATTGCATTGAGTATTGACATTTATCATCATGTATCATTACAACCAAGTAACAATTTAGCATCAACATAATAAAAAAATTAACATTACAGGACCTCTCATTCCTGTGACTTTATTTATCCATGTGTGAAAGCTTCGATTCCTTCAAAGGGAAATAATAATATCTACAAAATCTTTTCAGCCTTTCCATTTTCATCCCCTATTTTGTATTACTTCGCTTCGTAAAGCTGTTGGAAAGATTGTTTTGAGCCTTTAGAGAGCTAGCCAGCTGGAGTTAAAATATCAATATCATAATAATGAAATTTCATATGACAAAAGCTATGAGAAACAACAAACCACCCCCCATGTCACGTCTCACCTCGTAGACATTGAACTGGTTCTGCCCTCGAGACAGCTCTCTGTAGCTGGTGGTGAACTCGCCAATGAAGTCATGGCTGCACACAAACACCCACAAAGACAGGCGAGCATGAACACAGACTTCATAATCAGAGAGAAATGTTCACGTCTTTGTCTCTATCCGCACGTCTTGCTCCATTATTGTTTCTGTCAATCTCACAGTAACTGCTTCACATTTTCACCTACAGAGTGTACACAAGGCTGTTCACTTTCTTCTGACATTTGAGAGAGAAAGCTGATTTATTTGTACCTTCCATCTCGATCCCAGTCATAGACATCTACCTTCACAGTCCTGAAACAGAAACACAATATCTTATTTCTCAAGGTGTGCTCTGTACCACATTATCTCCCGTCAATATAACGAGAATCTGAAAATGGTAATGAATTTTAAAACTGCATCACACTGGGAAAAGAGCAATTACACATTCACTGATTCAATAGCCGCACGTCGAACAGGATTATTTGCACAGCAGGTACAGGTTGTTATGTGAGCTCTGAATTAAAAAATCTATCTATGCTCACTGCTTCAAGGCAGTGAACATCATCTATTCAAAACCTAGATAGAGGGATACAAATGAAAAATAAAGCATACCGTACAACAAGTATATATGTTACAGGCATACAGTACAAGCAGAGTAAGATATAGTGAAGTTACTGGGCTGGGTTGAAATTCAGTTAAAACATCACATGTCTTAGAAATAGCATATGGGGAATGAAGCTTTACCGTGAAGACCCACAAAGTTTGCCCCTATTTACTGTAGGCATTGTTGGATTCAAGTTGAACTAAATGCAAATGCACAGAAATCTCCTCAAAGATAGGCATTGATTTGCCAAAAACTGGAAGTTTAATCTTGAATCTCTAATAGTTTTTACTACACTGTAAAAAATGGCTGTGAAATCCACAGTTATTTACAGTGTTTGTGCACAGTACATTACTGTATACCATTTTAGAGTATAATACCGTGTTTCCAACCAAAGATTACAGCAACTCTGGAGTTGTAGAAATAGCAGTAGTAACGTCACAACTGTATAAAATCACAGTAACCAACAATGAACTGTAATCACAGTAACCAACAATGTACTGTAGATATTCACAGTAACCAACAATGTACTGTAATCACAGTAACCAACAATGTACTGTAATCACAGTAACCAACAATGTACTGTAGATATTCACAGTAACCAACAATGTACTGTAATCACAGTAACCAACAATGTACTGTAATCACAGTAACCAACAATGTACTGTAGATATTCACAGTAACCAACAATGTACTGTAGATATTCACAGTAACCAACAATGAACTGTAATCACAGTAACCAACAATGAACTGTAATCACAGTAACCAACAATGTACTGTAGATATTCACAGTAACCAACAATGTACTGTAGATATTCACAGTAACCAACAATGTACTGTAGAAGATCACAGTAACCAAAAAAGAAAGAACCAACCGAAAAACCCCATTTCTAAAATATCTTAAATAAACCAACATATTTTTCTTAATATACTAAATTTTGATGCAGTGTAATTACTAGTTTGGCTATACTAGATATTTGATATACTTAGTAGATATATATTTGTAAGACCCTATGTCTTTGCAAACCGGAAGAACTACAAATGTGGTGCTGATTTATACAAAGAATGTGTCTTGCGCCTTAAAAACGCAACACAGAGGAATACAAATAGACAAAAGTAAGGTAATAATCATCATTTTTATTATTATTGTGGCGGCTCAATTCCCAGTCCAGTTTGAGTTGCAGAGAGGCTAAGCTTGGCTATAGGCTGTGACGCGTTTTCAAAGAGAAAGTCCACACCGAAGTAATATAGTCTGACAAACGAACGACAAACTATGGGGACAAAAACGGTCAACAGAAAAAATAGACTTGTTTGAGATGAGCTGCGGCTCGCCTCGAAAGTAGATGAGAATAGCCGATTGCAGCCGGGGGAGGTCTCAAAAAGCTTGCCTGAAGTCGGACAGCTCGGAGTCGGCTTGACTCGGTTTGCAATGGCGGAAATTGCGTTGGCTTTCTTCATTGCAGATGAAGTGGATGCAATAGAAATTCCACAATTATTATATCACTACAAATGAATGACTCAAGTGTCTGTTCATTTTAAAGCAAATCAATACAAGGGGGGTTGAATCCTAGGCTACATGTAAAAGACAGAACCACTACTTTTCAAAATTACTTCCGTCAGTGGTCTTGACCAGTTTGCATTTATAAAGAATGCACACATGTGTTTAATCGTTAATGTCAGACATGTACTAAGTAAATACATTTGTTCCTGCTCAAGATTAGATTCAACTTTATTGTTATTGCACATCTTACAGGTACTGAGACAACGAAATGCAGTTTAGCTTCTAACCAGGTGCAACAAGCAGTAAAGTGAAAAGTAATGTACACAATAAAATATAGAATTAATTGAATGATGAATAAACAGTGAGGGGTATGAACAACAGGACAGGTTTGAATAAACTGTGTTTTTTTATTTACCCAAAGGTCCACAGAAAACATCATAAATCAATCATTTGTAATAACTAGGCCTATAAAAGAGGTCAACAGTCAGTCTCACAACGGTGAGACTGACAAAACAGCCAGCGCAATCATCATATCAGCTCTCTTAACAATTATATTGGATATTAGCAGTTATTACATGGGTTAGTGGAACAGTTCATTATTATTGGCCAGATCAGACATTCCAGAGGCCTGCTTTTTTTAGCTAGCAGACTGCTGCTAGGGATAGCAGACCGACACTAAGGAGGATCAAGGGACTGCAGTATGTACAGAGACATCAATCTGCAAAAATACGTTTTTGGAGAGCACAGAACTTCTAATTCAGATTGGCTGAACGAGTTCTGTTGCAGAAGCACTGTAGAGATCTGGCACTCACAAGGACATTCAAACGGAATTGAGGATGTGGTTGAAACTCCAAATTCATAGTTTTTTTTCAAAGACAAATATTTTATTGGGGCTAATACAAATTGTCTTGGCGCAAGTTGATACTAGACCAATTTTCTCAAACTGGGAAGAGGTATAAAACATTAACGGGGAAGTATAACACCAAATGATTATTGCTTATTTTGTTATCTTATAAATAAATAAGACAAAAGTCTAAAGGGATAATAATTCTAAAAAACCTTTAAAATAACCCAAAGAGAAGTACAATTTATTTTAGCAAGTGGCATTGCACTTATCTATGCTTTTTGTATGCAGAGTGTACCAGGCAGGAAGTGACTTTACCAGCTGCTTACAGTCCAACCCCACTTATAATGTGCAAAACAGTGCTGTGTGGAAACTGAGGCAGTCTCAATAACACCAGTGCTGGTCCCTGGGACACCACGACCGACTGCTGGCATTATTCTGACCGCCCCAGCAACAGGTGACAAGTCCTTGATCATAGAGAAACTGTGTCTGCTAGGACGCAGGAACTCAAGTTGTTCATGTAAAAAGTGATTAAACACATCTTCATAGATTAATTTAATGTCTAATGAGTAATTTAAAGGTCTCCTATCATACTCTTTTTCATCAATATATGGTAAAGATATTTCCATATATTGATAAATATATGGTAATATACAATGGTATATATGTTTTGGATATATACAAAACATGTCTCTGAAGTGTTTGCCTCGAAATACCAAACAGATCATTGTAGCATCCCATAATCCCCTCTGTTTCAGCCCTGTTTCCAAAGTGCTGATTCTGTGTCTGTTACTTTAGATGAAAATAAGGAGCCACTCCCCACGCCCCTCTGAGAGAGATTTGGTTACCTTGGTTGGATATTGGCTAATGGTTACACAAGCCAAAAAAATCATAAAATGGCCAGAAGCTCATTTCCAGACAGGTTTTTATATAAATGGATCAGGACAAAAAGTGAGCGAATCTTTTTTCCTGAAACTTTCAGAATGTTTTTACACAGAGGGGACACATGTTTATGTAGAAAAGATATGAAAAAGTGGATTTTGTATAATAGGTGACCTTTAACATTTCACTATTTGGACACCTTTTCTGACCTGTCAAAGTCGCCATTGCAGAGAGCTCGAACCGGGATGGTGAAGGGCTGCCACACCGGGTTCAGTGTGTTCTTGATCACCTCCGTCTTGTGGCAGATGGTGAACCTGCCAGCCAAATAACATAACAAATGTTTGCTCATATTGTACCTGAATCCCACATAACTTAATTTAAGCTTCAGCTGCAATGCTGCAAACATCTTACAGATACCTGTTTACGTATATCTATGGGGCATGACAGAATTAAAGATTGAGTTTTATTCCACTGAAAGTCTCTAGAATGCAGATTAGCAGAAGGTGGTAATAACATTAAAGGTTGGGATAAGCCTCAGAGGCTGGTGTCATACAAAGACAAGTTGATTTTTATGGAAAACAACAGAGAACAGATGCAACACAAGATATTATTTGCACTTAATCGTCACTCAAAAAAAGCTCACAATTGCTTTCCTTTCTTTGTCCAAAACATTGTTTGAGGGCTGTCTGGCAACATCTCGCTTTACCCTCAATCGGGCTTCCCAGTGAGACCTCAGCTGCTGCCGGTTTTCACCGAGCGGTACCAATGAATCTACAGATATGCTGCGCTCTGAACAGCAGTCCCTTAATAGTAATACTTGTATCCACCCGAGGATAAGTGGCTGGTAGCATGCAATTAAATCTTATAACAAAGGATGAACAAACTGTTCTTTGGGTGTGTGGATTTAAAGGTTTTTAGGGGAAATTACATTTTTGGACTGCTTTGAAGGTTTCAGCTTTCTGGAATACTCTCATGGAAGAATAAAGTACTATATGCTTTATGATAGGTATGATTTCAATCTTAAGCCCACTTTTAAAACATGAAAAGTCCAATTCAAACTGTAAATTAATCGTGGGAACAAGAGGTTTTAACAGTAGGAAATAAAAAATCAGAATCACATTTATTGCAAGATTTATTAAGTGAAATATGAGGAGGTTCAGATGTTGGTTTGAAGGGTCTTTAAACATTTATTTTTATTTTTCATGTCTTATCTTAAACATTAAATACATCAAAAACAGTGTGTATGTCTTTAGAACCATGAAAACAACCATAAAAGAAGAGCCTGAGATCTGAAAAGTGAAACCAATGCGGATGATCTGCCTTAAACTTACATTCTAACTATTAGCCAGGAGGGGACAAACCCACTAATCGCAAAAAAAGACTGTTTGTATAGAAGTCTATGAGATAGTTAGCCTTCCTTTTACTTAATTTATTACCTCGATAAACATTTTTTTATGGATGCAATCTCTTGTTTCAAGTCTAAGATATAGCATAATGTTAATTTTTGTAAATGATGGTCCCATTTACAGTAAAATAGATTATACAGCACCATGCCGTTCTACCATGCCTAGTAATTTCCATCAACTTGTCCAAATATAGTCATTTCTGAATTCCAGAAAAACAAGATGCTAAAATGCTAAACATACGGCTACAAAACACAAACCAATGTTTAAAGTAATGGGTGCCACATGACCTTCTTTTAAATCCTATACAAAGTGTGTTATTACATTTGTATGTTCTTACTAAAAGGTGAATAAAACATATATCTCCTTGGTGTAACAGTTGGTGGTATAATTTGAAAGACAAAGGTAAAAGACTCACGTTCCGTCCTCGTTACTCCGGTAGAAAACCAAGAAGGGGTCCGACTTGCCAAAAAAGTCTTTTTTGTCCAGCTTGTTGGCACACAACTGCATGGTAGCAATATCCTGAGAGTAGAGACGAACCGTTTTAGTTGAACATCAATATAGTCATTCTAATGCAATTTCATTTCTAAATCAGCAATTTGTTTTCTTCAGGAACTCATTTCTTGGTAGAATAGGGTTTCAAGGAACACCGCCCCAACAATCATAAAACGGAGACTCTCTTTGAATATAAAGTAATTGCTATTAGGAATACATTAAGGCAGGGGTCGGCAACCCCTGGCACGCGTGCCAATGCTGAAACCGTAACCAGTGGCACATTAGGAATACGTGGAATAAGTGTGCAAAATATTTAAATGGTATTTTCGGATCCTGAACGAGACCGCCGCCAGAGCGCGTCTCCCCGTTACCTGCAGAAGGAAGCCATGCACGCAACGCAGCCCCGCTCTCTTTATCTCCAGGTGACTTTCTGCCGCTTTCCTCCGTGGTGCAGTGCTGATGGTTTCACCACGGAGGAAAGCACTTCACAAATTGCAGTACCCATACGGAGCTGTACAAATGCCGCAGTTTTTGCGTGGCTGTGTCTTTAGTTGAAAGCCCAGTGGCGATCTGCTCATCTCTCATAGAAATAATATGCTACAAAGGGGCGGACTGGCCATCTGTGTGTTGAACTTTCCCGTCGGCTCCCAGACCGTAGTCGAGGAGGGCAGAAGCAACAAGCTTCAGGTTCAATAACCCACTTTAGCTTAAATGAGAGAGGCGAGCTCTTCTTTTTTAAATGGCACTTCATATGAAAAAAGTTGCCGACCCCTGTATTAAGGCAATGCAAAGGTGAATCAGAAACACAAAAGCTAGCAGTGAGAATGGTTTAATAACAGCCTGTCCTCCTCCAAAAAATGACCAAATAGGTTGATTGTTCAGCAGCTTATTATGACTTAGTCACGTTTTAAAGTTTAGCACCTCTAGTGGTCGTGTAAGAAACAACAATTTGCGGCAGATGCTCCCGTTGATTGCAAATGCTCCGGAGGGTCGGATATTCACAAATAACCTCTCTGTAAAATCCTAAATTGATAGTTTGGCCATTAAAATGCTTTTTGATTCGATTTCTAGCGAGAAGTATATTGTACTTTTAGAATCCATGTCAAGTGGATGTGTAGGATCTATAGTTTGAGAGATATTACGAAGATGATTTGAGGTCTCGTCAGGAGAACGTTAATATACTACGTCTTTCCCCACAGCGTCCATGTAAAGTTGGCGTCAACCCTCACAGGGTGAAAACAGTATTTCCGGTCTCGAAGTTTAATAAAACCGGAAGTATTCCTCTCACTGTCAAATGATTTCACAGTGATATATCTGCAGTACTCATCCACTAAAAAACATCAGTGTATCCTTGTTAATTACACGGGATACACTGATGTTGATTAGTTTAAATTGTGTACAATGCTTTTGTGTTTTTAACCTTCGATTCGGAGAAACAAATAGTTTTTTCGGAGTTTAGGATGGCCGAAGACACTACACTACCCATAATCCTCAGCTATCGTTTGGGACTACAACATCCGCTTTGCTTGACAAACCCCGTGATTAGTCCTCAAGCTCTGTGATTGGATGTTGGAGTGGCAGTGCGCCAAGGTTACGCAGAGCTCTTTGAAATGGAATGAAACCACGGCAGACTATCCAAAACTGGACTCGAACGGAATGACCTGTAACAGTCAACTGCATGAGGAGTTGGAAAGGTAGTTTCTGAAGATGTTACAAATAACACACAGCATACAATGCCATAATAACTTTGTATTATTAGTGTAGGACATGTATGTATGTATAACATCTGAAGATGTGTAGTTTTATTCATGTTTTCACATAATTTTACAGGATATTGCTATATTATTTCACATATTGTAGTTCTATACATTAATATCTGACTTGTAAAACATCACAAACAGAAAGGTATATGCGTCATTTAATGTTAAGCTATTGGAATTCTGATTCCATAGATGTGTCTCCCATCACGCAAAACCCCTGACTATTCTCTGAACTCAGTATTTACATTCTTATATTCAAAGAAAATCAGTAATATCTTTAAAAACTACAAGTCCCTGTCTACCAGCTCTGCACCGTTATGGTGTAAATAAAGCCTATCTACCAATTGGATCAAATATAAAAGTCAGCCGAATTAGTATTGATACTGCAAGGAGACGTATTGTGTGAAGAGAAATTGAAGATGTTGTTTAATTGCTGATATATTTATCATCCACGTCACATATTCAGTTTCGGCGGCATTTCTTCCAGTTTGTCCAGAAGTCTTCTCATCAGGGCTCTATAAATAGAGAACTACGGCAGATATGTAATATTTAATGCAGCCGAACCGTGTATTACAATGCCGTTATGTGATGACGTTCAAAGAGAAAAGCAAGCACACGCGGAATAAAGTATTATTATTATCGTTGTTTTAATGTTTTCGAATTTCACATCACATAAACACCATATCCCAACGTGCATTGGGGCTAAAACATCCAATCACCGAGCTTCAACGATTGCTGAGGATTATGGGTAGTTCAATGTTTTAGCCTATCAAAACCTCTGAAAAAATAAATGTGTCTCTCAGAATCGAAAGGGAAAAACCTATGGGAAAAACACAAAAGCAGTGTACACAATTTAAACCAATGAATGTCATGTAATTAACAAGGATAAACTGATATTTTTAGTGGAGAGTAGCGCAGATATAACTTTAAAATCATTTGACAGTGAGGGGAACACGGTTTTATTATGAAAACTTCGAGACCGGAAATATTGTTTTCACCCAGTGAGGGTTGACGCTAACTTTACATGGACGCTGCCGCATATACACGTTCTCCTTGCAAGACCTCAAATCATCTTCATAAATTATCTATCAAACTGTAGATCCTACACATCCACTGGACGTGAATTATAAAAGTACAATATACACTTCTCGCTAGGAATCTAATCAAAAAGCATTTTAAAACTATCCTACCATTTTTTAATTTTCCAGAGAGGGTTATTTGTGAATATACGACCCTCCGGAGCGTTTGCAGTCAACGGGAGCACTAGAGGTCGAAAACTTTAAAACGTGATTATAGGTCGTAATGCTTGAACAATCGACCTATTTGGTCGTATGAGTTGGAGGACTTGTTGTTTAATAAACATAGCATGCATGGATTGTTGTGATTGCATTCCAGCATTTCTTTTACATCACACACTTGGGAGAAACTGATTTGTATTATGGGTTGTCTGTAATATAGTCAGAAAGGCGTTGAGAATATGAATGAATGGTAACAGCAGCTAATGAAAAATAATGTAATCTCTGCTTTTGTAATGCCTGGGACAGGAACAGATGTATGAAAAGTAGGTTTTGGCGATAAGAAGAAGTTCACCCACGTTGAGCACATCGCCGGTTGAGGCTTTTTAGGGGGGTATTTTTGATTGTATTGTTAATTTAATGCTTTAAATTGTTGGAATAGTGAAAAGAATAACCAGCAGGTTTTTGGTTGTCTATTTGGTTTTATTTCTCACTTAAACTACAGCGGACATGCACACAAACCCAGGATAATGGTGGCCATTTTAACATATTGCTCAATCCTTATTGATTGATATTGAATAGATTAATAGAAATAGAAATAGAATAGGAAATAAATAGATAGACAGATGGATAGATTGCACCAAATGAGGCCATTTAGTTATTGCCTCCAGCAGGAAGGCATTATAGGAAACTTAAGCTTGTCATTTCATCTCAATGGGATTTGACCTGGATAAATAAAGGTTTTGAATTGAATTGTCATTGACAGATTGGGGTTGTCAGTGTACTGACACACACACACACACACACACACACACACACACACACACACACACACACACACACACACACACACACACACACCACACACACACACACACACACACACACACACACACACACACACACACACACACACACACACACACACACACACACACACACACACACACACACACACACACACACACACACACGATGGTAAAACACAACCAGGTTAAGCACATAATGATATCTGGAGTGCACACACAGAAACACACACGTACACATCACACAACACAGAGGACATCCTGTTAGTATCTAACTGTTTCGTAGTAATATATAAATGTAAACCATCTTGTAAGTTAATTTTAAACACATTTGAATCAGATCTAAACACTGAAAATAATACTTTGGGATTGTGGAGTTCCCAATGCAGAGATTTACACATTAAACTTGTGCATATTGGTTACATTTTATGATCTGATTTTGCAAGAGATTGGCCCATCATTAAATATCATCTGTGTGTTTGTGCGTGGGTGTGTTTGTGTGTAGGGGGGGAACCGATTGCAAGCTATTACAACAACAGTATCAGGGCATATAGAAAAAATGCAGACAATATGAGAATATTCCAACAGCGCTTCAATTGTGTGCATGATGAGTGTGTGTGTGTGTGTGTGTGTGCATGTGTGTGTGTGTGTGTGTGTGTGTATACTGACCCTGCAGTTACTGAGCTCCTCCGCGGTAAAGATAATGACTCCACACTTCTTCCCCGGAATCCCACTGGGAGAGAGACAGAGAGAATGATTGAAAAAGAGGTTAATTGTGGCAAGACATAAATAATACAATTGCCATGCCATTCATAGCTACAAGCTGTTATTGTGATAGGTGACAGCCAAGCATGCATATTGTCATATTAACAAGCTCACAAATGCAGTCCTGCACTTACTTTTCTGAAAAAAGGACATCTTTTGTGAGGTCTATTTTACTTTATGCATTATATTCCTTACTTTTTGACATTTTTCTTACATTCACATTTAACAAAAACACTTCAATTCAGACACCTACATCCTGTGATTTTACAACTTTTCAAACACATATAAGGCCTGTTATCTGCTCTTATTAAGTGAAATACAAGAGCTTTATAATAATAATAATAATAATACATTACATTTATAAAGCGCTTTTCCTGGTGCTCAAAGCGCTTTTTATGTGTTATATGCTTTTTAAGTTAATCAGACATAAAGCCCTCCTCTCCTACCGTATTGGTCAGTGAAAATAGGTTAAATTGCTCACGTTTTCAAAGGTAGAATGCTCTTCTCTAATACATGTAGGTAGCTGCCTGCATTTGCACCCAATCTATTTTTGATACTGAAGAGCTCCACTTGAGCAGTTGGAGGTAAAGTGCCCTGCTTAAGGGCACCTCAGAGATGATAACAATAGAGTGGCCCAAATATAGATTTTCAGCCCAGGATATTGAACCATAAGCAGAAATTGTGCGAATGTGTGTTTGAAACGGGATGATTGTGTGATCACTTTAAAGCAGCAACCCCTATGTTCACGTATACATTGAGTCAGCCATGTCAGCTAAACAGATGTGTGTGCCTAAGGTTTGTTAGCCTACATTAGCCAAACTACGCTAATGGTCATACCCAACCAAGTAGAGCTGCAGCTTTAAAATCTTTGAGTGCATTCAAATGATTTCTATATTTTTGAACCAACACAAATGAATTGTATCGAATTACTTCTTCAGGCCAAATGTTATCCCTTTTCTTTTATCAAGTAACTTTTTCAAACGACACTTGTCTAGAAATCCTACATTTTCTGCATTTGAATGTGCTAACAAGAGGTTTCGTGTTAGTATCAATACGTTAAACAGTTATTTCTTACATGTTGACATATCACACTTTAAATATCAGATGCATGAATACAAAAATAACAAATTAATTCAATTTAGCTGGTTTACTTTCAGGGTCCTTGTATTGTATATTCTGGTGTACTTTCTTACTTCCAATCCGAATGTATAGTACATTTCAAGGAACATTTTGTTTCCTATAGTGTGTTATATAGATTTTTGGTCATATAAATGGTCTGCAAAGGATAAAACCCCCAAAGTTCCCTACATAGGGAGTTTCTCTCCCACACACTAACCCCTCCTTTGGATTCCTTTGTTTACTTCCGTAATATAGTTAATTTATTTTCTATTACATTCCTGCAAAAATACAAATTGCGCATCAAAACAGGTGGATTGAAACACACTAGCACATTGCAGCACTTGTCTTCTGGGAAAAAGCTTTTCATATTAAACCTTAAATAGGAATGTGTTTATTCGCATGGATGTTTGTGCGTCCTTGTGAACAACATTACAAAAAAGCAGGGCCGGCTTAGAAAACCTCCACAAGATAAACAACTCTACCGTGTACATTAATAAAGCATAAAGGAGACGGTTAAAGCAATACAAAAAAAAAAAATGTGCACAAGTTATTGGACTTTTATCTCTATCTCTATCTAATAACAATGGAAAATATTTAGTTTTAATCAAAAACAAGTGAAGAAGATATAATCTTAGGTAATAAAATATGTCTGTTACATATTTTAAAGGAACAATTGGTTTGAATAACTGCTTTAAATATTATTAGACCTTGTTTTTTGTGGTATAATTGAGATTAATGTTACAAATCTGACTCCCACATAATTTTCCCTTCCATCATTTATTTAATTAGACATATTCAAGGTTAGAACTTGTTAAAGAGTGTGCCTTTCTTTTATTTCCCCCCCATTTAAAACTCTATTGAGACAAAACTGGGTTTGGTGAAAGAACATTTGACTCAACCGTCACAAAAGAAGAAAGACATTGGACAAAAGAAATTAAGTGGATGTTTAAAAGTAGAGTGAACAAGAAGGAAAGGAGGAACCGAACGTGAGTTTGGGGCACAAAAGGGGCCAAGCTTCACTTTCTGTCTCATCATAATTTTCTGAAGTATATGAGTAAGTTGAAAGAGATGAAGAAAAATGAGAAAAGAAGAAATAACACAGAACGGTGAAAAAAAGAAGACTGAAAGAAAGATGAGGAAAGGGAAAAGGAGACATAGATGATGTCGGCTACTCCCATGCAGCACATTTGAATTCAACTTTTAGTGATTGACTCTCAGCTCGAGATACTGTGTCACACTCATAGCTGCATCAGGACTTGGAAATCGACTGCGATCTTTGTCACCGTGCGGCAAGAACAAATAATGTTACAGGTACATGTAACAGGATCCCGTTCTCTGTGATATGAGCACATATCCTCAGATAACAAGTGTATGAATCAAAATGATGACGAAACCAAAGTGACACACCTCCATCAGTTAAAGCAGTGGTGGGGAACCTCCGGCCTCCGAGACAATTTTGATACGGCCCTCGAGGTAATTTATAAACACACGCAAACATTTTTTTTAAAGAAATCTAGACCGTAAAAGAATTAGACAAGCGAGTGCCTGTTTTCCCTGGCCAAGGACAGTTTCCTTGAACACAACACGAACCTAACGTGTCATCACGTGGTATATGTCTCGTCTGACAGGGGTGTAGTGCTGACAATTGCAGTACGCATAAGGAGCCGTACACATGCCGCAGCTTTTGCGTGGCTGTGTCTTTAATTGTAAGCCCAGTGGCGATCTGTTCATCTGTCATACTGATCATACAGTCAATAACTTTGTTGTTATTAGCATCTGGTTAGCTAGCTATGCTAACGAATATAAGAAGCTTTTTCTACAACCAGTGAGGTAAAGGCACATCTTTATATGATCATTATAGTTATAAAATAAGAGAATAAAGTAAACAGGTATAAAATACTATATGACAGTAGAAAAAAGTTGTTATTAATAAACAAGAATAAAGTTTAAAAGAGGAGTGATTTGTAAAATATCCATAAAGAAAAAGAAAATCTGCTTACAGGTCTGTTTCATATGGGAGATGAGAGATGTATCCATAGATCTCTTAATGTTGCTCTCAAAGTGCACCAGATTGATGCTTTTAACTTGAACATTAAAAAAAAAATCTTCCCGGGGGAGCATGCCCCGGACCCCCCTAGAGGAGGTCAGATCCACCTCCTACTTAAATCATGTTCACATGGATAGGAAACTAAATACATTTGCACACATCTTGTTTCCATATCTTTCTGTTTTGGTGGTCATGCCACAACCGTGCACGTGAATGCGAGTCATGGTAAGATATCTGGATTAAGAAGTTGCTTTTCCTTTGCACAGCATGAAAGAAAGGCGAAATGAATGGGCTTTGATTTTAGTATTTTTAAGCAGAGGTTGAGTTCAATCATTTGTACGGCCCTCGGAGGATGTTGTAAACATTTAAATGGCCCTTGAGAGGAAAAAAGTTCCCCACCCCTGGTTTAAAGTCACAGTAGCACATGTAATAAATGGTGCAGAGGATGCTTACCATGTGAATGTGTAATCATTTGAGTACATTCACTCAAGGACTGCACTATGGTCTGCACAATTTGTGCTTTGAACTGCCTTTTTTTTTGTTTAATTGATATTGTTATTTACAGCTACTTTCCAAATAAACTCTACGGAAGACTATCAGTGCCACATGTGAACTTCATTTTTTGGATCTTATCAAAAGTGATTTTTTTAATTCTGACTTTTTTTTTCATATTCTGACTTTTTTCTAGGAATTCTAGTACCTTTTTTCTCAACATTCTAATTTCTCCCAAAAAATTAAAATAAAATCTGTCCCTAATCCACTTAAGTATACGTATACTCCACAAGGTTTACGAGGAACTATGGGTATCCGTATTCGTCCCGTATCGTCACGGTTCGGACGTCACGGTTCGGACGTCACGGTTCGGCACATGCAGTCACACGGCGAATACGCCTTTCTTTTACGAGTGGGAAAAAAGTCTGTCATTCAGGGCAGTATCCATTACAATATTTAATCCAGGGGGCGGTATTGCGCCTAAAAGCTGTTTGCCAGCCGCTCTTAAACAACAAATGAAGAACAATAAGAAACAACTGTTGTGACTCGACAGATATGTTAGGTTTAGTTATGTTTTTACTCTAGTTTTGTGTTTTGATCTTCTCACTTCCTGTTTTTATTTTGAAAGTAATCTTTCCTGTCATTCCAGATCCCACATTTCCTGCCTTTGTGTGTTTCCCGCCCGTGAGATTGCTTGGCCCTGCCCTGATTGTTTTCACCTGTGCCCATCCCCCTCACCAGTGACATGCGGTGAGGTTCAAGGCTGGTGAGGCACTGACTCTTTCAGAGTCAGATTTACAAATATTATATTTTGACCTTAATCGAAATGTTCGGTTATTTTCAAAAGCTTTTTTAGTCTGATGCTTCGATTCATTTTAAACAGACTGTTCAACAAAACGATACCCACAATCTAAATATTGGATTGTTCTTTCTTAGTAAGATCCCATGTTCATTACAATTGTGGTCTTACCTTGACTTGAAGATGAAGTCCATGCTATCCTTCTGGACAACAATCTCTATTACTTTTTTGTAAAAGTCCTCCTTGTCTTCCTCTAGTTTCAAAAGTCTAGCTTGTTGTTTGCGTCTGCGTAGAATAACAGTAGCAACAAGGACCTGTGGGCTCACGTGCGCCCCCTTCAGTGCGGCAGAGGTTATGGCTGCCTCCCCTGGTGCTTTTTTCATTGCCGTTGTATGATGAGACCAGCGGGCCTAAATATCATATATACGTGAAATAAGTTATTTAGAGACTATGGATGGCGAGGATAAATGTAATAAAGGGATCTACAAACATTACATTGGTGACATACAGT